GAGAGAGAGAGAGGGGTGATACATCTCTTCCCTTCATGGAGTTGCGAGTGTGTGGAGAAATATTGAAGCAAGGATCAATGATCATCTTAAAACATATAATTCTTGTCAAACTGAAGAGAAGCTTACTTGGGCAAACGCACGCCGAGGCTTCAGCAGAGTCGAGGTCGGTCGGTGGTTTTCGGCCATCTATCAACTTTGCATCACCCTGCGCACACTTTTTTTCAACCCCAATTAATTATATAAATGTGATAAATTAATGAACACACAAAGTATCAATCGATCAAAATCTTGATAGCAAAGAAAGTAAATGACAAAAAAAAAAAAAGACTTGGCGTTAGCTTTAGTACTCCCATCCCACAATAATACAAGGTTCTCCATCTATCAACATTATACAGGCTGTTCTTTGTTCCTATATCACTTTCTGCTTAACCAAAAACAGTAACATTTGGACCGACACAGTAATCAAACAAAACTTCAACTAAGATCCTGAACTTACAATATATCTTCACTCAATGTAGTAGTAGTTGAGGGTCGGACCTTGGTTTCCTCGGTGCAAACCGGCATTGATCTTAAGAAACAAGTTGCTAACATCAGTACCAGCTCAAACTATAAGCCCTGTTGTTTTGTAAGGTCTGACAGTTGAGCTCACCGTCGCAAGGATTGGAGACCGAGTCTATCTCACAAAATGAGCCTTCCCATAGTACCTGTTTATATACGCTACCTGCATATTACCACCAGTGTTGATCCAAATTCAGTGAGAGATGAAGGAGCTATTTAATTTAGACTAGTCAAAAACAATGCCAATGTTGGCTATCATGCAGCAGCAAGAGATTCAATCACAATAAAGATTATTTCAGCAAACACAGATCATCAGTTAATTAATACAAGGACAAACATTTATAGCAGGGGTGGCCAGGGAAAGACCACAATGTAAATAAATATCATAGGCAGATGAGAGCCAGACAAATAGAAATGCACTAGACACATACCTTTACTTTGCTAATGTCGGGTGTGTCTGGTGTCTGAACCGGGTAAAATTTATAGAACTTCATATTCTCAAAAGCAGCTCTTGTCTTTGGATCCATGTCCTCTATAGCTTTCTTCCTGGCTTCCTTTGCCTGCAGTGATAGGGAGCCAGGATATACAATCACCAACATGTGACTTGAGTCAGAAAAAAGTGCAATTTTTTAGCATATACCTGTCGCTGTACTTTCCTCCTTTCTCGAACCTGCTCCTTAACATATTCCTGATATAACAACAGCAAAACTCATAAGTAAGATAATAATGGACTTATCATATCAGGATAAAAGTAAATCAAATATATCTTTCATAACAAAGGCCCATCGGCTACTAGTAAAAAAACAAAAGTATCTCTTTTTATTTGTTGTATTACCTTAAATTCATCTTTCTTATCCTCTGGCAATGTCTCCTCCGAAATGAGACTGTCAGTGAACTCCTGAAAATTGAAATCCAAGATTTAGAATTATGTACAAGTATCAAGAAAATCAGGGATATCCAATCAATATTATCAAAATTACATAACAAAACAGACAGATTTGTACCTCGAGGTCGTCCATTTCCCAATCAAAATCACAGACAATCTGTAAAATAGAGATTCTCCACCATAAGAAAGTTTATGAGATGATAAGTTCAGTGATTGCGGACACAATCATTAATGCATTACGAATGTGCATATATATATATATATATATATCCACCAAGTTGTACAAGCATACTATATGAAACAGACATGGCCAAAAAGGATGTGACTGCCCAATGGAGATAAGATCCACAAAGCCTACCCCGAATAAAGATCCACCAAGTTGTACAAGCATGATGCAGTAGGGTGTGAATCTTAACTTGAACATGTCGGGTCAACCCAACCCAACCAGGACCCATCACCACCTGTTTTAAACAACTCATCAGGTCCAAGGGCCAATTTCGAGTATCACCCTTGATAAATTTGCACTGGTCAGATTCATGTCATGGTGTGGAACTGGCCCAAACCTGTTAGAGTTTTGATGTAGAGTTCATGGCCAATTCCTGTTAGAGTTCCCCAATCACTTGGAGCCATGCCATTCTCATCACACGCATACACTTGACCCTCCAAAACCCCCAGATTGCAAGAACATACTCGACAGAAAATTGACAATCATCCAGTCTAGCCCTAATCCCCAAATTGCAAACATCCACTGTTGTAGATTGGTTTTCTCTCACTGTAGTGAAGACAGTGACATCGATCCTCATGCCTCAGCACATCATCCTCTTTTTTTACCCTCTCTTATGGTTAGATTTTTCATCAACATTCCTATTCTCATCGTTTTCTTCTATCCATTTATCACCTCGTTAACATACACTGCTCGTCCTTTTTCTCAAGTCATCGTTGAATTAATCAAAGTGCTCTGTTTGATAAATCTACTATATTTGTGTCAACAATGAAGAGAAGCTGATCCCATTTATCCTAACAGTGAAGAATACTTGCATCCTTGGTGTATTGCATGTTGCATAGTTACACATTACTACATTATGTGAGAATATTGTAAATAGAATCGCATTATAAACAGAACTGATAACGGATGGTTCAATGGTTTAGCCATTTGGGTTGGGCAAGGTTTGGGTTTATCCCACTGGCTGGTGGTTTGACCTGACCCAACCCATTCCCACCCTAAGGGCAAAACAACTATGGAATCATTCTTTTATGAATCGATCTAACTGATTCAATGGAGTCATACTAAATAGGAAATATAATATAGACCAAGTGAAAATAGGGTATATCAGACTAAAATGTTAATGGAAGAAAACTAATGAGAAATGCAAAAGCTCAAGATTGTTTAGAAATACTACTCAAAATACAAAGATCGTTCAGAATTAATGAGTCTCATTATTGATCATAAATAATCACAGGGTAAAAAGGCATTGCTAACATTAGCTTACCGGAGGTTCTAGAGGAAACATTATGTTAACAACTGTATCATCCTCATCTTCATCAGCTTTGAGTGACTGAAGATCTATAAAACAAATGAAAGTTCAGCAGGAACTTCAATTAGAAACAATATGGAATTAAAAAATCTACTAAGTCATAATGTTACAATATCTTGTTGCTAAGAGTATCACTAAATAAAGTTCTAAAAAGAAAACATGTAAATATCATGAATCAAAGGAAAACCCATCTCAATAGGATCTAGAAACAAGGATGAATAAGAAAGAATGAGTAAAAAATGGACTGGAATATCCAAGTCATGAAAAGTTTTTAGGTTATTGCCAAAGACCAAACAAGAGTAGAACATAAGATGCTTGGTTTATTTGGGGTTTGAAGGAGCTCAAAAATGAACAGGAAAACCTTAAGTTTCAGTTTACACTTTTATATTTTGAATAGCTATATTGTGCTAATTAAAATCCATACTACATATGCATCTGGACATCACATTTGCACAATAAGTAACCACCTGCTTATAACTTTTGTGCTTCAAAACATTCATCGCATGGTAAAAATTAAACAAAAGATGAAGTCCTCTAGGTCATGTAAGCAATCTAAACAGGAACTTTGTATTGTTACAAAAATCCAAATTTATGCCTTCAGCTGATCAACTGTAAGGCTGCAAGTGCAATGTCTGATCTTCAATCTGTGTGCAACATCACATTCAAATTTATGCCATAATCTAGGGACAATCGACATTAAGTTGGAAAATGGAAGCATTTGGGAATCTTGTTATACTGCAGCATATATGCTTTAACAAAAATAGAAAACATGGGAATTTTATTCTTGACAATGATTGTTTATTCAGTTTTTGCCAACGGTGACACATGTGGACATTTAGATAGTCACTATAAGGGCTAAAATATAAACATTAAGAAATGAGTTATAGCAGTACACAAATATAAATTGAATAGAAACCAACTTCGAGTTCAATAGGATCTAAAAATAGAAGAAACAAAAATTAAGGTTAGAGAAAGCAAATAAGACTTACAAGGAAGGCAGTAGTCATATTGCTTGACACGCTCAACTTTCAGATGCCTTAAAGCAGATCTGCATAATGATATTTAGCTTAAAATATATTTTTTTCTGAAAGTTATGATTTCCAGTAAGAGCAATGTATCTAGAACATATAGGACATCAAATAAGTTACAGAATCAGGCAAACAAACCTTGTGAGATAGCAAATTGATTTCAGACCTAAGTAAAAATGAGCAACTAGGGCAAAGCCGGACACCCATTGATCAAAGATCAAGGCCAACATTTTGTCTCTAATATCATCACTGAAAGTTGATACCTTGTGTTTCCAAGGAACCTTTCACTAGAAAACTTGAATGATGTCTCCTATGCAAAGTAGTCAACTAAGTTCTCATTCTCGCAATCATTTGAAAAATGAAGATCCTTGACAAAATGTATCAGGTCAACAAGAAAAAATGAAAAAAAGATATAAGAGAAAGGGAAGAAAGCACAAGAATAAACAATGTACAAGGGACCAATGAGATCTAGAAGTATATTCATTTCCAATTTCAAAAACAAAGTATTTTTCTTTTATTTTTTCCTGTAAGGATGGTAGTGTCACTGTTTTTTTTTTATTTTTTTCTATAGATAAATCCAAAGAGAAGGCTGTTCCATGGTTACATAAGCTTAAACTGAAACCAGGAAGGTAGAAGATTTAAATTATCAACATAGAAAATCCCACTATTGCCTAGATCAAAATCAAGAAGAAAATGAAAATTGCAAGAGACTATCAAAGAAACAAGTGACAAGTCTTGAACAGCCAAAATGCAGAGTCAACTTGTAAGTTTGAAGTACAAGATTGTAAAAATATTCATCAAAGCTTCTTCTGTGGGAATAAATATGATTACTACATAATATGAAGCTTAATAGATGCAGAATGAACCACGGGAACCTAAATTCCACAATTTAGAATAACTTTAACAATGAATTTAGTTGATGATTTATGTTCATATGTACACTGTATCAACATAGAGTATCTTTGTCATGCCAAAGACATGTTATAGTGCTGCAATTTAACGGAGGCTGATCCAAATAAGACACCACTGGCATGGATTGTCTTGGAATATTGACAATCATGAGGTGAGGCTTATAGCTTTTTTTATCTTAGATGTTCCTTATTGAGTTTAAACTCAGTGTTATTAAATTATATAAGGCATTCCAGAAAGGCTTCAGTTGAAAAGATCTAAGAACAACTTGAGATTGGAACAGATTAGTAAAACCAAACTCATGCCTGTTCAACTTTCACATGTGGATTAACTAATAAGCTGGACCTGGTGGCAAGAAACCACACATGAAAGCATAGATAGTGTCAAGTTCATTACACAGGTTAAGCTCCTATGTGGGATTTGCTTGGCTTATGCTTTTATGGAGATTTGAGCCTTAAGCTTGAATAGTTACTCTCTCCTTAGTGCCTATATGTTGATTTATATACTTTCTTTCAAGATTTAAAATGGATATTACTATTTTAAATCCTTTTTTACTATGTCCAATCCCATTTAATTTTTTTTAATATTTCTAAACTACCCATTTGCAAATGGATACAAATACCCTATTCATCTTCCTCATCCTCTTCTTCTCCTTCTTCGGCCTCCTCCTCTTCCTCTTATTCAGAGGATGGCATTGAGGGGGCAGCGAGCGAGGTTGGACGGCATCGAGTGGCATCGACAATGGCAACAAGCAACGTTGGCAACAAGGATGAAATAAGGGGTTGTGGGGAAGAAACAAAGAAAAAAAGGGATAAAATCAGTAATATTGGGATTGTAAATAGTAAAATAATATTATTTTTTAAGGGGTTATCAATAGTGAGGGGATTATCAATAGTACAACGAGGACTGTGACTAGTAAGCTTCTTTACAATTCTGATCCAAAACCAGCATCAACATTGATCGATAAAACAGTAGTATATCAAGTGATATACCAACCTGTTTTGCTTGAGAAGGTTTTAAATAATGATCAGTATCTCAATATTGGTTCAAACAAGCATTTTTACATATATTTCAGTACCAACACATATGATTCATTTTTATTTTTATAATTTTGTTCAGTAATACCCAATGATAATCGAGATTCTCTCCGGTATACTAGTACCTTACTGTCAATATTACTGAAAAATTAAAAAAGCAAGCATTTGATAAGCATAGCTGAAAATAACATCAAAAAGATGTGTGGTGGAGCATGCAAGATCAATAACCATGTCCCAATAATTGGCCATTTGCAACCAAAGCAAAGGTGACCTATGTGGGAAAATGGCAATAAAATATTTGTCAACCAACCTTCTATCTGAAGACCTTAGTTTATAAGATTGAGTGTTGACATGTAATGACATTAAAGAAAAATGTCATCATTGTATTGCTATGCTTGCTAGATCAATATAGTGCGAATCAATCAACAAAAGGAACAGCAGGACCTTGAACCACTCACAGAATTTTCTATCTATGCATGCACATTGCACAAACAAAACATTCCAAATTAGTATCTCAATTGACACAAACATAACAAAAATCCTAAAAAAGAAAATTAAATAACTGAAATACCTTCTCTGGGTGCAACCCATGGTAAATATTTGAGTCTTCAACCTATCAACTTGACTTTGACTGAAAAAAAAACCAAAAGCATCTCAAACATTTGACTTCCATAAAATGCTAAATATAAGCAGCTTGGAAATAAATAAATTAAATCACAAATAGCACATACCGATTTTCAAGAGGAATGTATGGAATCCATGCCATTTTCATTGTCTTCATGGGTAATATTTCTTCTTTCTCTCTTTGCACAGATTTTATACCAATCTGATCAGACGGTGGAATTGGAGAAACCACCTGTAAAAGAAATTGAAGAATTAACTAACATGTTAATGGCTTAACACAACAAACTTAATAATATAACTAAAACTAGTATTCAAATTGGTAAAGTTACAATATTCACTGATCTCATAATGAATACAAAGTCACATGTGACATGATGCTTGGGCAATAGAGAAAGCAACCTCAGTTGTAAGTTAACATTACAGATTCCCACTACCATGAACCAAATATATGAAGCAAAAATGTACAACTAGCAGCATGGTTCCAAAGATCAGCCAATCTAGATTGAAACCAACATTAAACAACCTGGAACAAAATTTTTCATGGAAGGGTAAACTTGGATTAAGAAACATTTAATCCCCATTGATGCAAATTAATCCAAGCTAATCCCACTGTTTCTAATGAATAGCAGTGAATTGGTTACAGAAAAAAATGTCTATATCAAGATGTATTTGACACAATTATGAGGGTGAATCAGAAATTATTAAATTCCTTTGACCTTCCTGATATAATTTATTTTCCTTTTTGCTGATTGTATTTTGAAAAAGGCTATATACATCAAAAGTGTGAAATTGCACACTTGAATAATGATGAATGAAACAAGAAATTCCTAAAATGTAGTTATCTTATGTTTACATCACAATGCAACTTCACAGGATGTAGGACACTTAAATATCAATTTTCTTTAATCAGTCACTCTCTTCTTTATCCCATCTTTCCAACCATATATTATCCTTCTACAAACAATACAGCAAATCTCTTGAGTACATCCCACTGCAAAAACACAATTTCTTATCCTATTCTTTCACAATCCAGACTGTATTTTTTAGTCCATTATCTACTATGTCCTTGCTGCCCAACACCTATTTCCCACACAATAACAACTGTCTTTGACCCCCAATTCATGCATATCTATAGGTTGTTGAACGAGTATAGCTAACACCTAAGAAGAGCAACATGGCCTAGCTTCAGCGTTCCATTAGGTCTTTCTTTCATTTGCGAAATATTTTTACTCCAGATAAAGGCAGTCCTTGCATTCTGCCAATTTAGGAGCAACATTTTCACCTCTTTGTACTTTTAAAATTAAGTATATAGATAAAAAAAATTCACAAAATATATTTGCAATGTGGCCCTAAAAGTAGATAACAAAGATCTCAGAGTACTAAGCATTAAAACGACAATAATACTGTTTAAATTCTAAAGCAACTTACTGCCACCACAATGGGGATAAGCACAACCTTCTCTTGACCATTTACAGCCAACATTTGAGCTGCAAAACCAGGGGCAAAAGTACACTAATCAAATGAAAAGAACTGAATAATTGTATCACCCACACGTATGAGACTATGGGTGCAAAATGAATAACTATTTGACAGAAAAACAAGCACAAACTACAAGCACAAAAGATGAGCAAGAAAATTGAAGGTTGAACAGTAAATAGATCATATAACAATTATTCGAAACTCAGAACTGATAGAAAAAGAAAGTGCACACAACCTAATAAGTCTCACATAACATAACCAAACAACTTACCCTCGGTGCTGCCAAACATGTAGACTGTCTTTCCATAAAGCTCTCCTCCCTCCTCGAAGGCATTCTTTACACCACAAAGGAAAAATGAATTTTGTCATCAGTCCACTATCTTGTCAGGCAGAGAGGAAAAAAAAGAAAGACAACCACACACCTCTAAATTGGAAAAGTCCCAATTGATTTCACGAATTTTATCCATGTTATCCCACTGACATAAGCAAATACACCCGACAACTCAAAACGTCATATAGAAGAAGTGATAAATTAAAATCAATATAGCAAATGATGTATATTTTCACAACAATGTTTATCCAATGTACAAATGTGATTGATCCCATTAAATGAAATCTCCGTGCAGCTTCGCTTAAAGTAAAACAAACCTCAGTTCCAACCGGAAAAGCTGCTTGCCAAAGATCTTCCTGCATACAGAAGGAATTATTAACGTCCTGGTATTGTTACATATAATATATTAGTTAGTTAGTAGGAAAATAAACGAGATTACTTGTTTCAATCATGGTTTTAAAACACAACAGAGGGATATCGTCATCAAGCATATTAGGAGTTAATATTCAGTTGGAGGTTGTACATTAACTAGCAGAGAAATTTCTGCCAATCTAACTACCAACAAGAATAACTTGGCAGAACAGAAAACCTAAAAGAGGCATATTAAACACGGGTTGACGATAAGAAATCCAAATAGGGGCATTAATAAACACAAAATCAATAACACTTCAAAACAGGCATGAAAACCCCAAATAAAGCATTAGGTAAAGCAGAGAAAACACGATTAAAAGAAAAGGGAGCCGAATCGAACCATGTTCCTCTTCTCGGGGAGGTACTCGGTCTCCGGTTTGGGCTTGGCCGCCTTGACCCTCTTCCCTCTGGCGGCACCCTTGTTCGACTCCTTCTGGAGCTCCTCCGGCGACTTGCTCCCGCCGCTGCTGCTGCCCTCTTCCTCCCTCGCCGCGGCGGCCACAGCCTTCCTCTTCTTCGATGCCAACGATGCCCTGGGCTTCCTCATCTCCGATCGCGGGAGCTGAGGGTCTGGATGAAGAGAAGGGTTGGGGTCAGGGTTCGAGGAGAAGGGGGAAGGGGACGCCGAAGTGAGAGAGGGAGATCTGAGAGCGTCGGACGAACGCGGTCTCAATCCAAAATTTGAAGGTGGGAGAGAACAGGAAAGAGGGTTAAAGAGCGGAGAGTCTATTTTATAGGTAGGTGTGTGACGGCCGGGTTCTATGACGAATCGGAGCCGTACGATCTCCATCTTGATGTTGATGGAGGCCGTCTGATCCGTCGGGAAGTACACGGCGTGGAATCGGTGCGTCTCCCACACGCCGATTCAGAAGAAATCTTGAAACTTCCGTCTCCAACCGGTCCGACCGAACTAGTCCGGGTTCGGTCGAGCCACATATTTCTTAAATCCCATATAATGGGTTTTAGATAAGCTTTTTCTAGCTCTACATGTATATATAAACATATATATATATATATAAATTAATACTTCAGTATTAAAATAAAATTGATTGTTGAGAAAACGGATGGGTGTTGAAGAAGAGACCTCGCGATCACCGTAGTGCTGACAAAGAGGCTAATAAACGCCAAAATATCTCATGCTACCGTGACTCTCCAATCATTTCTTACATGGAGGTATATATGGAGCAAAATGATAGAGAAAATGATGCTCATTGCCTTTTATTCTAAAAATTTTCGATGCAGAAAGCATTTACTTCAAAATAATATAAAAACCAATTTTATTTTCAAGAAACACAAAATAAATATTATTTGGAAAAAAAAAAAAGAAAGGCCTTGAGAAGTATATATATATATAATTGGAGTGAACCCTCAAACCGTCAAGCTTTCCTCACATTTATAGAAGCACGGTCAAGAACAAAAGCCACAGAAGCCTTGATCAACTACAAGAATATTTTCCTGCTCTAAGAAAGCTTTATAGAACATTCAGAGAAAGTATAGTAAGGTCTTTTGTTTTTTGTTTTTTTTTTTTTTTTTTTTTTGCACATACATTGCACTTAAAAAACTTAGAAGCAAAAGGAAAGTATAGTAAGACTTTCTTTTTAGAAGATTCTTTTCCATTTGAAGAACATAGACTTAGTTGAAGAACATACACTTACTAAATATTCGATCTGCATTCACCTATTCCTAACAGCTGTAATTGTTTTTTCTAAAATCTTATGGGCTTTGATCATAATATTCTTCTCTGCAATAAGTTGTGACTTATCTAATAACCCACTTTCCTTAATTATGAAGTTAATCCAAATGACCTACTTTCCTTAATTACGAAACATTGGAGCCATGTGTCATATAAGAGATATTGGAACCTTAATGTTACTAACAGAATATTTCATCATAATTTGGTTAATAAAATTAAAATTATTCATATTTTGCTTGAGTCTAGTAATGTCCCATCTTATAAGTACTCCTTATCCGAAGAAAATAAAATCATTAGCTTATCAAATTATCTATCGAGCCATATAAAAGATTCAAAAAAATATCCACTAACTGTTTTAGTTAAAATAATACGTGAAATAACTCTAAAGATAACAATAAAAGCAACATGTATAGGTAGAACGACCCATCAAGTTCCTATTGAAGTAAGATCTATGTAAGCAAAAACACTTGCTTGGTTATTAAGAGCATCCCTGAAAACATATAAATCAAAATATAATTCAAATTAATAGATGCCGCCAAAGGGAGTGGCAATGTCATAGGCAAAAGAAAAAGACTCATAATGACAGAGGCTAATAGAGCTTTTACATATTTTCGTTAATTAATGAACAGGATTTATATTTTCGTTAATTCATGAACAGGATCTACACATGGATCCCTGCATCTTTTGGGACTTCTGCAGTGCCAGTTGATTAATTATTTTATCTTCTTTTAAAAAGAACCAAACATTCTTCATCGACACTTAAAATACCACAACTACAGTGACTCGTAACAGCGATCAGCAGAAATGTACCTTGTCATATGTACATTTTGGTTGCCCTCATCCAGAGAATCTCGTGCGAACTGTCATCCAAATTTAGCTTCCACTTAGCCAGCATCATTATCAAATATATGACAGTCACAAGAACATTAACTACTGATCTTGGAACAATGACTTACAGAAAACATCTTGAGATTGTATTGTACCATCTTTACACAGCAAGAATGCCAAGTAATTAAAGAAACAAAGAAGCATGTGGCATCAATCACACCAACAATAGGAGCCTTGCGTGACAAAAAGATGGCTAGTGCATTCAGTGATATTATTTCAAAAAAGCACGGAAGTTCGTAAAAATTCAGATGTGTTAATTAACATACTGACCATTCCACAAATTTATATTTGAACAATGTCCAAACTGCCTCAGCAGGCTAGATCAGTGTTTTCACATATTGGTCCAGATTGGTATCGAAGAGTTCAGACCTACAAAATTGAGCAGACGTCCTTAGTCTTGACAAGGAGCTATGTCAATTAAAGCAAAACCATCAAGCAGAATAAGCATTTCAATGGAAACTTGTCATAGTACATTCTGAGATATAGAATAACGATCCTGAATGAAAAGATGAAGCCTGATTGTCATTTTACATTATGAGACAGCATTCAGGAGAAACTAAAAGTATTAACTTGTGTATTTGTTTACAATGGTAGAGATAATTGCCTCATCTGAACCATTTATAATGCATCTACTGATCTACATGATATTGTGAACAATAAATCACGAATTATATACCTCAGCTCATACTCGGTTGGATCATGCTTGCACCAAATTGAAAAAAGAAAAACGAAATTTAAATTGATCTTGTATAACATATTATGTATGATAACATTATGTAAGAATAGATTTAATGTTTGGAACAAATTTAGCATTTAGGAGGGTACGGCAGTTGACCCATATACAATAAATGTGGATGTGATGATAAATGCCAGTGTCAATATTTGCAGGCATTTTGCAGATGGTTCAAACAATAGAAAAGAATGCATAATTTAACTAGATTATGCATTGCGTAAATTGTCATTAGAAACCATATTGCATGTATGCCAGCAAAATCTTTCAGGTCTGCAACATTCTCAACACTATAGATTCAAAGCACATTTAAGACCAATCACAGCTTCATAACATCTTTCAGATGAAGCAACAAGTCTTTGGCATATGCACTTCCAGACATCGACTTAGCCAATTTGAGCTCATATACCATTTTCAAAAGGGCTTTAAAGAATTGTGAGAACAACTTCACCAATGTTCGAATGAATTAGCTTGGAACCTAAACTCAAGTGGAAACTATGAACATGCAATCAAACCTTCACTTGATAGAGATTTGGTGTACATGTCCATTGCTGATGCCACAGAAGGTGGACACTCAGTACAAAAATGGCAAACACATTCTAGGGGCTTAAAAAAATTATTACAGGGCATTCATCAGCATCAAGTAAAATTAATTGCTTTGTCATTTTTCATTGTACAAAAAAAAAATTGAAAACCTATAGTTGCCATGCTATTAATATTAGACCCATTAACCTCATAAAGGCACCTTCAGATTTCAAAAAATATCAATTTGCTGCTGCTAATATATTTTTAAAAAGTGGCTCTCAGAATGCAAGTGAAAGAGTCATACTTGATTGGAGTACCAGGCACATAGAGAGGATTCTTTACAACATATTCCACATAAAGATTGTATATGTGTTTCAGAGACTCTTGATGGTCACTGGTCTTTGGATGTGTGATCAAAATAAGCTGCATAAAGAAAAAAGGTTAATGCAACATTGTTGCACCAATATGGTGATGCTTAGTCAAAGCAGTATCAAAAGGTTCAAATGCATATTCATGATCCTTGAAAAAAATAGCGTTCTAGTTGAAACAAGACACCTTCAATCATAGATCCTCAAAGAAAAAAATTAGCTTATGTATCCACTATCTAAATTAACTTCATAACTCGCAAAGCCGGTACAAAGAGGCAAAATAGTGTTCCTACAATGAAGACAATTATGATGATATTGTTATACAAGTACTAAGCTCTTTTTATAAAACCTTCAGTAGATGGATGAAGTTCAGTAATACAGAGGCTGCATCAATGATTTATTATGGATTCCAATTTTGTGGCATTCAGTTCCTCACACAGCCAGTGGACTTGGTAACTTTTAGAAAAGTAACACAAAGCCATATGTTAATTTCTAGTGTCAAAACCATGAAATAAAGAATAATTGAATCATGACAATGCCCAGAACTCATACCATAAAGTGAAAGAATCATTTTCATGAATAAGGACATTAACATCGCATAATTCAAAATCATGTGTAAATTTTGTATGTTTCTCAATATCAAACTGTAATCATTAGCCTGACACCTTAAACATAAAAAACAAATTCTGACTTTATTAGCTTTTCTATAAAAAAAAAATCTTGGGTAGGGATGTCAGACAGTCATGAACAGATCTGAATACTGTGACCATTGGTAATTGATTGAGTAGAATATCAATTCTTACCTTCAGCGATGGCGTTGAATCAAACCGTTTCAGTGATGGTTTAGGCCAATCCAGGGGACTAGTTGGTTTTCTGATTTAAGGAATTTTAAAAGTTTTTAATTGAAAATTTTGCTATTAATTTCAAAAATGTAGACAAATTCTAAGTTTGATCAATAATTGAAATTAAAAATAATGATCCGTCACGTGATAATTAAGGACATCATTTGACAACTGCAAATGAACAGACAAACCAGTACTAGTACTAGTATATTAACGGACCATTCCACTGTTGTTGGAAGAATAAGAATCCAACTTATGGGTAATTCATCCGTTGGAAGAGTGCACCACTGGGCACCACTGCAAACTGTGATATGAAATGTTATATGATTGACCTTGAATGATAATTAATTTATGATTATAGTCTTATTTTGATAGAAAAATTACATAGATTTATTTTTAGGAGGTTTTTAGTCATTATGCTTGCTGATGTGTTTTTATTTTACATTTATATTTCAAAAGAGTCTCCCGACAGTGTTAGGCCTAAGGCTTGAGTGAAGTAGACATTTCTTTACCGTTAGGGAGCCCTACAAGGAGTTCTAGCATTTCATGCCTCTTGCTGCCATTTGATAGTTCTATTTCTAACATATCATACATCTTACTGCAATCTAATAGCACTTGTCAGATATCTCTTGATAGTTATTTTTTGTAAGAAAAACATTTAAAAATTTCGTTTTGAATAAAATTACTTCGACTTTTATATTGCTCTGGATTGGTACTGTTGAAAGATGATCACATTCTGCATTGTGGAAACAAAAAATTGAGCACTATGTGACCTCATTTTCTCCATGGATGATAACCTATGGTGTGCGGTACATGTTATGGATAATAGTCAAATATATGCACTCATATTGATTCTAGATACTTTCTTACATTCTTTGACATTAATATAGAGGATGTACCATCCCATGATATTGACTGAGTGGCATATGGATGGCATGACCAAGCACAACTGACGAACATCACAAATTATTAGTAATCCGTGTTGCAACCGAAAAGCAACAGAATATAAAGAAAGAGGTAATTCGAAACTAGCAATCAACTAACTAGAACAAATAAGGATTAGCTCACATATTACTGAGTAAGAGAAAAGGATAGCATGCACACCTAAATTTGATTTTGTACCTCATACAAAAGGCTGTTTTTTTTCTCTAAATTCGAGATATGAAATGGATGTACAATCTTGACCAACATTTGGCCCATTTTAATAGACATATGTGTAAATGTAGGAAGTACTAATGCTTTGCTGCTTCATTAATTCCCAAAAGCTTTTAGGGGTAGAATTTGATGGAACTCCCTTGAAGAGAGTCATTCATATCTGGGCTGAAATGAGGGAAGTTTTTAGAACCTAACTCACCTTGGTCAGTGACAAAATCTTCATTGTTGACCAGACTTGTATAAAAAATTAAGAGACATATTGGTCTTGGACAACATCACCAGATGATGAAATCTCAGCATGAATTATGAAGGGCACTCAAATAAACTCAGTTTGTTTGGTTGTTAATAGAAAATATTGATAACTAGATAGCACCATATTGACACAGATTTTCCAAGAGCTAATAACACAGATTGCAAGGTAAAAAAATAATCCATAAATCCTGACCAACTCAAGAAGTATCATACCTAAGTAAAACGGGAGTAAATAAAAAAAGACCCATATAATCTTGTGGATAAGGGGAAGATATTGGACGCTAATATCCTAGTACAACTAGCAACAGCAAAATTTTAAGTTAGCTAACCTTGGGTGAAGGGAAAAATGAGACGTGAAGGTCAACACTTCAAGAAAGGAGGAACAAAGTGCAGTCTTCTAGAAGATTGTCCTGAAGGTATTTGAAGATTCCTTGAAGAATGGATATCGATTACCAAAATCAATCTGTCAGGGTTTAGCAAATAAAAAATGATTTGAAATATGCTCATCATTGATTAGTATGTCACACAATTGAAGATAATTATGTATATGAAATTGGGTTGCAAAGTTTTATAAACTTGGAAAATCTTTTTTTCCAAAGCAAGTATTGGCCAATCCAATCCCCTTTAGAATATTATGTCAAAATAAGTGCTGGCTGATTGGATCCAACTCCAAAACTGATTAACACTACAGAAACTGAAACAGGAGAAACTATGGAATAAGATGAATATTGTACCTAAAAAAATATAGTATTTGTTCTTGACAAAACATAAGAATGTTAAGGATCAATTGTTATTAAGCTTATAGCTGATTGGACAGGATTAAAAAAAGGATCAGTAGCTGAATTACTATCTCTTAGCAAATAGAGCAGCAGAATAGAAGATAAATAATAGAAGATGTGAAGGAACAAGATACGCTGAATGTGGATCAATGGTCAAAGAAGCTTAATAGTATGACTATAATTGCTTCATTGCAAGACAGTAGTTATACAATTTAAAGCATAGAGCAACTTAACAAGAAAACTCATTGTTGCAAACAATCCTATATAAAAAGATATTCCAGAACTAAATCACAATGACTTAATCTCCATCAACATAATATACACCTGTAAACATGATTCGTACTCATCAATTATACTCACAATAAGGTACTAACATCATTAAAAACAATTACATAATAAATAATAAAAGAAATGTCTCGAATTCTACCAATGTATGAAACCATTCAAATCACTCGATCTAAAGACCAGTCCACTCAAAATGCAATATGAGATGCTCTAAATCTTGCTTGAGTTAACCCAAATAATTCGTAAGAACAGTTTGAGCACAAATATATGCAATGCCTACCAAAAAGAAAAAGGAGAATTCGACTGACCTTTATCCCAGACGGGCTTTCCATGAAGCTCAGCTTATAGGTATTGGTCCGAAAACTGTAGAAGGAACAGCCTTGCCCCGGCAACAGCGGCACCCCGAGATTGCCCTTATCGACGCTGCCAAAAGAAAGAGAGTTTCACCGCTCCGATCGAACGCATGCGACCAAAGAGCGGGAAGTCCAGCACGTACCTGGTGGGATCCATCTTGGCGGTGAAGGACCGGAGGGAGAAGAGGAGGCCGAACATGAGCTTCTGGTCCTGGTTGGCGTCGAGGGTACGGAGGGGGCGGTGCCACTCGCGGTAGAGTAAGCAGACGCCGCTCCGGTTAAAGATGTACAGCACGTTTGCGTTGTTCCCGCTAAGCGCAGTCGCCGTACCGGGCGGCGCCGGTGGGGACGGGCTGATGTCCACCGCCGAGGAGCCGCTGAAGAACTGCATCGCCTTGCTATCCCCCCTCCCCGGATCTGAGTCGCAGGTGGTCAGCAACGATAAGTAGTTGGTTAGGGCAGTATAAACGGATTGAACTCGGATCGAATCAGGGTCGATTCGCCTCCGATCCGACTTCCGATCGGGTTGTCGGATCAATCATATCGCAAGCACGATCCGCATCCGATAAGCTCGAGAACCGCTGGTAGTGCATATAACGTATATTGTAAACTAATCATCTAAATATCATTTTTTATTAGCAATATATTTTTAGATTTAAATAAACAAAACTAAATATTTTTAATCCTTATTTATAACTTAATTTCATCTCAATGCCCACTTAATTGGAGAATTGATCCATTCAAAAACGCTGGGATTTACCAATTAGCTAAAATTCTGGTATAATAAGACAATTAACACAATTAGAAATGGACAATTTCCATAAATCTCTCTTCCCCCTTGAGATGTACAAATTAATTCCAAATTACAACTTTGTAATTCGAGGAATCAGAATGGTGAAAGCTAATCTCAACTCGGTCCTTCTTCCATGGGGAACAGCTTATTGCCACCGGACAGCTCTCGTCAGCCTCAAACCTTCAAGCTCAGTGAGTGCTTCAAACTCCCCACGTGCAGGACATGAGACCCCAACGCTAGCTTCCGGTTCCCGAGTTCATCCACCACGCTCAGGTCCTTGCAAACGTCGACCTTGAACACCACCTGGCCCACCGCTTTCGGCCCCAAGAAGACCTTCTCAAACCCCACCAGGTGCTTCCTCGGGGCGCCGTGCACCGCCGGCGGAGTGGAGAAGAGGAACACCGTGTGGCTCCCCGCTCTGTTTCCCGAGTTCCGCACCCGCAAGTGCACGTCGAATCCCAGGTCGTTGCACCCGGTTCCGGCGAGGTCGACGGACTTGCACTGCCGGGAGTCGCACGAGTGGCCCTCTTCGAGGGGTATGGAGACCAGCCGGGGAGCCTTGACGAGGTGGTGGGTGTAGTCGGTGTAGCTGAGGCCGTCGCCGAATTCGTAGACGATGTCGCCGGTGTAGAACCGATAAGTGCGGCCGGGGTAGCCCGTCGATGGATCCGCCCTCATGCGCATGTCAGTCATCGGGACTGAGTCTGCGAAGGATTGAGGGTACCACGTAACAGGCAGTCTGCCACCTGCACGTGTCAATCAAGTCATCGTTAAGCTCCGTAGTGTTGCGGACGCATGGAACTTCGAACATGATCGACTGGTATCTTCTGCAGTCGGAGCACAGGAGCTTACTTGGATTGTAGTATCCGAAGATGACGTCGGCTATGGCAGCTCCTCCGGCTTCGCCGGGGTACCCCACCCACAAGATGCTCGATATATTGCCGTTGGTTTTGGCGAACGAGATGTCGAACGGGCCGCCGGACATGATGACGAGGATCACCGGTCCCTTGGCCACCTTCGCTACCTCCGTGATGAGGGTCGTCTGTTGCCCAGGGAGGAGCAGGCTCACCCGGTCGAAGCTCTCCCTCTCTATCGACTGGTCGGCTCCGACGACGAGGACTGTGAAGTCCGCGGCGGCCGCGGCCGCCTTCGCCGAGTCCAGTTGGAGGCTGTTCCCGGTGCAACCCACGTTGGCGCACCCTGCCGCATACACGGTCTTGACGTTCGCCGCAAGGCCTTGCAGAGGAGTCGTGTACTTGCACGGTGTCCCTGAAACAATATGGTCGAACACACGTTGACATAATCTCATGAGGCAAGAAGAAACCTGCAAGATCCAATGCTATGTAACCTTCGTAGTTGCCGATCATGGTGAAGGTGACATTGGCATTCGGGCCGATCACGGCCAACGACTTGATGCGGGTGGAGTCGAGGGGAAGGCAGCCATTGTCGTTCTTGAGGAGAACGATGCCTTGCCTCGCGGCCTCGCGAGCGAGCTCCTGGTTGGCCGGCGTACACACGTCCTTGGGGCCGAGACCGCCGTAAGGGAGCTTCCTAGGATCGCCGTCGAAGAAGCCGAGCCGCATCAGGACGGCGAAGTTGTTGGTGATCGCCTTCTCCACGTCCTTCTCCGTCAGCTTGCCTCCCTGGACCGCAGCCAAGGTGTGATCTCTCAAGAACGACCCACAGTTCAGATCGAGACCTGCACTCACGATTCGGTACACCAGATTCGGCCATGACAGAAGCTTTCTCTTAACCTTGATATCAGAGCTTTACCTGCTAAGATGCTGATAGCTGCAGCATCCTCAGGAGTTTTAGTGTAGTGCTGTCGATTGTAGAGTTCATTGACAGAATCGCAATCCGAGACAATGTAACTGCGAGTGAGAGTTCAGCATTAGAGACCTGAGGAGGAAGACTACATGAAGAGAAGGAACAGGAAGAGACCCATTGAGCTTCCAATCTCCTCTGATGGTACCAGAAAGAAGGTCTGGGTCTGCACAGGTGGGGACTCCATTGACCTGGTTGTAAGAGCACATCACACTGGCCACATTGCCATCAATCACGCAGCTCTTGAAAGGAGGTTGAAAGGTGTCATCCAAATCTTGCTTTGAGACCTAACATCACAGCAATCAAAATGAGCAGATCATCTTCAGCAAAGTTCATGTTTCAAGCAGGAGCATGACGATTACCACGGCATTGAAGGTGTAGCGCTCGATGCCTTTCCAGTTATCGACGTCGTAGGCTGTGTAGTGCTTGCAGCAAGCAGCAACCTTGAGCTTCTCTGGTTCATCTGCCTCTTGCAAGCCTCTCACATAGCCAGTGGCATACTTGCTTGCAAGCAGAGGATCCTCTCCTGGTGTCTCCTGCCCTCTTCCCCACCTCGGGTCTCTAAATATGTTGACATTTGGGCTCCAATATGTCAATCCTGCAAGCCCCACATTGTGCATTGCTCTGGCTTCAGTTGATACAACCTGCAAGCATAGCACCACACTCATGCTTTAAGCTGCAGAAGCCATTCTGCTAATAACAGCTTCATGAATTGCAGGATTGAGAGATTAGCTCATCATCTCAACTATGGCAGAGTGATCACTAAAAGAACACAATACAGGACTAAGACACACATTTAAATGGATCGTAGTTGATGATACTGCATAAGTGGATGAAGCAGGAAGGCCACTACATATGATTTTATATTCATGATGTCTATTGTGCTCACCACCCGTCATCACTCATATTCTCACAAAGTGGGCTGGGAATTCTGATGATAACAAGATGGCAATCATGGAGAGAACCACTTTGTATCTGTCTCCACTGTCACCGGTCCAACAAAGTAATGGAGAGGTCTCGCAGATGAATTAGAAGCAACAGATGATATGAACTCAGATCCAAATAATACCAAGTTCTCGAGCACATCCATTAATGCAGATGTTCTAACTCACTCATCAAGCTCTCTATCCAAATTCCAGAACAAGCAGCAAGTAATATTGGAGCTACAGAAACAACAGTTTGGGAATGTAAGAACCAAGAACAGAGCATAAAATCTGTACCTTTCCAATGGCTTGGAAGAGTGTAGTGTTAAACGAGGCCGCTGTGAGGATGACCTGAGGGAAGCTGGTCGCCCCGGGAACGAGGGTGGAGAAATGCGTCCCCGGGCCGACGTAGGAGACGCCGTGCAGGGCCTCCGACCACCACTCGTAGCTGGGAATCCCGAGACGGGACACCGCCGTGGCCTTGTTCACCAAGAACCCTACTTTTTCCTGCAATGTGAGCCGCTTCACCAAGTCCGCCACCCTCTGCTCCGTCCCGTAAGACGTGTTGCAGAAGCCGTAGCTCCCCAGGCTGGGGTTCGAGGCGACGTCGCAGGCGAAGACGGGGGTTTGGCCGGCGACGCCATCGGAGCACAAGAAACACAGGAAGCAGAGGAACAAGAAGAGCAGGTCGAGAAGATGGGATTTTGGTGCTTCTCCCATCGATCTCGTGGCGTCGAATGGCTTTCCTCCTCCCCACCCTCGCTGGTTTTGAAGTGGTGGCGTCGTTTTGTCCGGTTGCGACCCGTGACAATGGGAGTCCGACAGGGGGAGGCGCTTTCTCTGAGCGCGTGAATGCTTTGGGCGGGGGATTTATTCTCGAAGGCGAAACGGGTGTGTGGAGACGCGCTTGAGGAAGTGGGGCGACGCTGGCAGAGGTCACGGCTTTGTACTGTGCTACTGCATTACCATCATCGTTGTGGAGTATATTTCACTGTTAATCTCAGCTAAAACGAAAGGAAGCAGCGAGTGTTTCGCTTTCGCTGACAGCGAAGAGGATGAATCGACCAGAAACCTTCAACGATGCTTCCCTTTCACCTGTGCATAGATCCACCAGCTTCGGTAGATTGACTGGAGATGTTTCGGCACACGTAATTTGGGTTGACCAATTTGGACGCTCAGTTGACTTATCTATTCTTTGTTTAGATCTTAATCCTCGATCTCAAATCACCGCCAGAGATTCTTATACAGGCCATGAACAAAGCAGAGAAGGCAACACAACAGAAGAAAATCCAAGGCAACCACAGAGGCGAAAGAATACAGTATTCGATTCAGAAGAATGGCCCCATTAGCAGAAAGTGAGTTTGGCCGGATGTGATCACTGTGGACGTTGGCGGATCACAGGCGAGCAGAACATGTGACTACTGCAGAGATATATCCAATCTTGCAGTAGATGAAAGCTCAGAGATTGTGCAGTGTGATTGGATAGCCTTTGGACTCGTCTTCTCTACACGGAGTTGCAGAGCATGGGCACATGTGAAGAAGGCACAAAGCCGGCAGAAATGGAGGAAGATCCGACGCCATCCTCTCTCAGGAAAGTGCATTAGAGCATAGAATATGAGAAGTATATGTCCCGCCCGCTGTGTCGGGGATGCACTTTAATGTTTTTGTAGTTTGCCATTAATGATCATAGGTGGTATACACAGAAACGAGGATTTATAAGGGTTTATGTAGACAATCCGATGATCCTTATATGATCCGTCATGTCTTATCGAGTATATGATCTGTCATGTCTTATCGAGCATCTTGTCAACCAAATGATTGTCCCATAATAATATCAACCGTGCAATCGCTAATTCAATCTTAACAACAATCCTCGGGTACGTGGGGGGGGGGCGGGCAACTCAGGTTATGCCTAACTCAAGCGACCCATTCACCCAAATATTATGTTATCGCTTATATCAAATGTCATAACTCAAGCTTAATGGGTTAACTGTTCTATCATCTTCGTCTAACCTAAATCGTTAACTAAAATATTTAAGCTAAAATATATAATAATATATTCATCAGACTCTATAAGCTAATATTAATCTTGTCTACTTACATAGTAGAACTAATCAAGATGTTACAGACATATAAGAGGGTCGGAAGTACCGTGTAAAATTATTTATGAGGTAAATACTACAACATGCTTGGATATATCGGATTTTCCATTATACAAGTCAAGCATAGAAAGCTCGAAGTCAGTTCATTAATTATGTCCCATGTACAAGGAGATCATAAGAATAACTTTTGTCTCTGGTTATTTATCTTACTTAATTTATCTAAGAATATCTTCCAATTATCGATTCATCTTATCGATTTGGGATTTGCATAAATTGTCATGGTTATAGGTCCTGATAAGAGTCATATCTTAAAAAAGTTATCCAAAAAGATTTAGGTCAAAGAAAGAAAATGGATAAACATCCTTTGACATCTTCGGACTCTAAATTATTAAAATTAGGAGATTGAGCATTTAAGACCGTTGAAGTTGAACCATACAAGTTTAAGGGCTTTGGATCATCGATATTTAGTCGAGATAGACCTATGAAGTTCCCTTGAGACATCTTTGGCCCTCCTTTTAGCATCAAACTATTAAACTAAATTTTAATTATTTGATCTGGATGCATAGTCGGATCCAACCTTATATCACTTCAAGCAAATCTAAGGTAAAATTCGACAAATTTGATACCTAAATCCAATAAAACTAATTCGAGGGGCATTCTTGATAATGCTTATATAATGCTTAAGTCGGTAGTCTAATTGAATAAGTCGGATAAGTCAAGCTCAAGTTGTTCGATTACTCTGTGTTGTGTGACCTTTTTATAGTGATCACCTAGGGGGCGTTATATAGTTTGTTTAGTAAGATCTAGTCAAAACCACTCTCACTGATCTTGAGTTATTATATTCGTTTATTACATCTATTGGAATGATCATCAAACTATTTCGCTTGTTTAACTCATATCGATCAATAGTTTGGAAACATGATAATAACGGTGGAAGATACATATCTCGGTGCAGGATCATCTACCAAATCTCTCCTTTTCAATACCAAGTCTATGATGAACTCAGAAATTAGACTTAGATTACATCTTAATCGTTGACATGTGGGACGATTCCAAACTTGACTTATCAAGAATAACATAGAAACAAATAAAGAAATATAGATAGATAGATATGTAAAGTAACAAGCACAAATGTCCTTCCAAGATCAAATGGCACGGAGAAGGGTAGGAAGTGCCATTCGCACTTGTGCCACTCAACACATGCTCTCTGCCCGAGGATGCATGATTGGGTTGATACAGCTTTGTGCCTTTTTCTGGTAAGAACTGATGTCAAGCAGAGAGAAAACATCTTATTGGTAGATGCAGAATTTTGACAGTTCTATGTGCACATTTTGTGCATGATGCTGTTCACCAGCTGTCTCTCTTACTCCGGTCTTTGTTTAGTGGGGGGGAGAAGTCACATCTCTGCACTGAAAGGTATGTTCTTGAGCACTAACGCAGGCCAAGAAAAGTACATATAATGCATGCAGGCTGGGAGAAACATTTTTCTGGGAATTCATGATGGGAAAGGTAGTGGCGAAGGTAGCAAGTGTCATTCCCTTTGCTGGCAATGACACCTCTCGGAAGCTAAAGGTAATCAACTAAGCTCAGATCCATTCAGTTTAAAGATAATAAAAAGACAAGCATTCACAGACTGGTGGATTCATACACCATATTAATCTCTGTTGCGGACAAATCCAGTAGCCATCGTGTCGATGATCGAACTCTTCTAAACGGTTGTTCATGTCGTCCGACACGCACGCCTGGTAGGTGTTCGTCCGATCGTCTCTGTGAAAAGGTATGAATCCGTATTTTCATGTTACATGTCAAATAATTCATATATTGAGATATGAATTCTTTGATCTTATATCTTATTAAAGTCATAATTCTTTAATCTTTAAGGTTTTTTATCTTTTATTTATTAGTTGGATATCTCTAAAATTGATATTTGATGGTCGATTCACATCGATATGCACTGTTGATATAATTAATAAGGCGACAGACAGTACGCAAGGAAAGGTTGGCTATCGAGTCTCTTTATGTAGTCCTTCAAATCACGTGAATGGATATGATGCCAACACAAAGCTCATTCAGTGAGCATTAAATGCTCCAACGCCCTCTCGAGGGACAAAATAATAGAAGACATTACATCAAACACTTGACCGACACATCGAGAAATAGTGTTGTTTAGATTTTGATGTTACATTTGGTTAGGAGTCATTCGAAATTGATGATGATTTTAATAAGTTAGACAATGTGTAGATATATTAAATTAATTAATATGGTACATGAAATGACTAAGGCATATTAATATACATGTTTTTCATTCACTTGATGTTTCTTTTTCATGAAAATTAATATGGTGCTAATTCTACACCTCTCTGAATTTTTTTTTCTCCGTAAATTTGTAATTTATTTCTCTCATTTCTATGCCTTATCTGAAAACAATTCACCATATAACTTGGATTTATTTGGGTTTACTATGGAATTAATAAACATAAAAAACTTTTCCTATAAATATTCATAATATATATTTTTTGGGAACACAAAGTTCAGTTTTATTTCACTTGTTTTTTTGAGTGCCTCTAGTGAGGAGTTTGTTTTATTATTGGCAAAATTGATTTCATATTTTGTCACTATAATTTTTTGGTTCATTTTTTGAAAGTTTTTGGGTGATAAATTTGTTGAACTCTTATTACTTTTTGAAATTATGTGGGTAGAGTCATTTTCCTTTTGTTATAATGTAAATCTTGGGAGACTCTCATAACCTAATTTTTTCTCAATCATGTTGTCTTTTTTTATTTCTTAAATAAAAAGAGTAGCATTTCCATGTGCTCCTAACAAAAAAAAATGCATTATAAATATATATATCAAACCTCAAAGTCCAGATAAAAAAAAGTTTACATGTCTATTTTTCAGATATTAGAAATTATTTTTTTCCTCTGAAATATATATACACATATATATTCCTTTAGGTATTTAAATCATTCATATAATGCCACTCATCCATATAATAAACTCAAAATAAATGTTAAATATTTAAGATATCCCTTTTATTACTTTTATTTGCTCTATATTCTAAATCTAATTCAAAAGTGATATTTTTGTAGATCTATTAACATCAATTATAATTTTCAATGTCAATATGCTAACTATCTAATTAAAAATCTAAAAGTTTTTTTTAATTTTGTAATATTATATATATATATATATATGCAATTTTGATAAAGGAAAAAAAAGACTCGCGTTGACTAAGTCAAACTAATGGGCAAGGAACAGAACAGTCTCACACCAATCAGCTTCACTCATTTCATCAAACACTTTCCACCCTTATCACACTTGGCTTTCCCACAGCAATTCCAGAGCTGTTCTCAGCATCCCCACTTCTATATACTCTTCGCGCCTCACCTTCGTCTCTCATTCCAAAGGGAATCTCCCTTTTCCACTCCCCAGCCATGGCCAAGCCTCCCTTTCTCCCTTTCCTCCTCTTTGTAGCCTCAGCTTTGCTGAGCACTTCTTGCAGTGCCGCGCCGAGGAAGAAAGTGGCCTTCTATGAGCTGAAGAAGGGCGATTTCTCTGTGAAGGTGACCAACTGGGGTGCCATCATCACCTCCGTCGTTCTTCCCGATTCAAAAGGTCTCCGTTGCTTGATAGTTTGCTTCTCTCTGCAGGGATCAACGTAGCCCTGACTTCCTTTTTCTCTCTACTGCAGGAAACCTGGGGGATGTTGTTCTTGGGTATGATGGGCTTGGTCCATATATTGTAAGATCAATCTCCCTCTTCTCTTCATTGAATCCTGTTCAAGCATTGATTTCTGCTACCTCTGCTTGTGATCTTAGTAGAGAGACTGCCAATCCTAGTGATTTCCTCAGTGACACTACAACAAATTTGCCCACAGTGGATGTTGCTCCACATCTTGTTTGTAGGAAAAAGATACCAACTTGTAGTACATGAAAAGTTTGGGGGAAGGTCAATGAGTCAAGGAGACACATTTTCCTAATCAAGAATAAGCACTTTTTCCGATCTATCACATATTTTATTTGGTCTTTCCATGTGATTCCATGTGCCTTTGTACAGTAAGTTTATATTCTATCCAGATCACATCATCTTGGTGGGGGCTGCTTTGGATGTATGCTAATTTCCCCTTCCCTTCAACTCTGGTCCTTCCATGATTTCTAGTGAAACTTGAGGAACAATTCACTAGAGTTTATTCACTTCACCTGACCTCATTCTTCCAAAAGATTAAACTCAACACCCACAAGACAGACATGGATGGCAAGGGTGACAAACCAAATTATGCTTTGGTGTGTCTTACAAGATATTACTTTCTTGTGGATACATGTTGATCTCTCTTCTCCTTGATCTTCCATTTGTTTGTGAATTGGAACACTAATTTTGCATCCTTTGTTCTGTCAACTATAACTCACAAGAAAGATTTGGATAGCAAAGGTGACTGACCAAATTATGCTTTGGTGTGTGTTTCAAGATATTACTTTCTTGTGGATGTTGATCTTCCATCTGTTTGTTGAATTGGAGCACTAATTCTTACGCCCTGTGTTCTTTAATCAGAACAATTCAGCTAATTTTGGGGCAGTAGTTGGACGAGTTGCTAACAGGATATCGGGTGCACGATTTGTTCTAAATGGAAAGGTATACAGATTGTCTAAAAACAGTGGAAACAACACACTTCATGGTATGAATAAACCTGTTTTCTCTCTTCCCGGTTAAAATCATCGGCAAGTTTAAGAGCATAATTTCTTTGATCCCTCAATTTCAGGTGGGCACAGAGGGTTCAGTCATGTCATTTGGACTGTAAAGGAGAAAGTTGACGGAGAATTCCCTTACATCACATTATACTACCATAGTTTTGATGGGGAACAAGGTATGTATGACATTATTGCCATCTCCTCTAAGGGTGAGATCGTTGACACGTCTTTACCTGCAAGATTAGATCTAATTTCTTCTTCTTTTGCTAATCAGTACGTAGGCTATCTTATCATCAAATTTAAGAAGAAAAAACACACCAAAACAATGAAATGGTATAATTTTACTGAGTTCTTTTTCTACTCTTCCTCTCACCAAAGAAGAAAACAGTAAGACAGTTGCATATCATTTTCTGCATCATCTCATTTTCATATCATTTTCTGGTGCTTTTAATTTTGGAGGTACTCCATGCCTCAGTCGTCATAGATGATGATAACATTGCTGGAGAATCTCTTTTGATCAAGTAAATAACCACTTAAGTTCATGTCCACTGTGATTTCCAAGTCTTAACACTTACAATCTTTCTATAAGTGAAACTTGATGCCTTCTACAGGTTTCCCTGGTGCTCTTGATGTGTTTGTTACCTACAAGATATCAGCACCATATGAACTGAGCATAGCCATGTGTGCCAAGTCCCTAAACAAGGCAACACCAGTGAACTTGGCACAGCACAGCTACTGGAACCTCGGAGGCCATGGCAGTGGCACAATCCTCTCGAACATGGTCCAAATTTTTTCATCCAAGATCACGCCTGTCGATGCGAATCTCATCCCAATCGGTACCATCGTGCCAGTTTCTGGCACACCATACGATTTCCTCAAGCCCACAACCGTCGGCAGCCGCATCGACAAGCTATCAGGTGGCTACGACATCAACTACGTCCTGGATCAGCCGATAGGCAGCAACGGCATGAGGAAGGTCGCGGTCGTGAAGGATGGCGACGGTTCAGGAAGGGCTTTCGAGCTGTGGGCGAACCAGCCGGGTGTGCAGTTCTACACTGGGAACTTTCTGAATAATGTCAAAGGGAAGGGAGGCCAAATCTATGGCAAACATGCTGGATTGTGCTTAGAGACACAAGGCTTTCCTGACTCTGTGAACCACCCCAACTTCCCATCCCAGATTGTGAACCCTGGGAAGGATTACAAACACAATATGTTGTTCAAGTTCTCGTTCTAATTAGCCGCTGCAAATGCCAGCATTATGCATGGTTTGAAATTAAAAAAAAAAAAAAAAATCATCGACCTCTTTTTCCTTTTTCTTTTGTTTTCTTGGTGTCAGAGTGAGTATTTTCATGTTTATTGATGGAAATGATGCACTGGATCATACTTATCGCGCGAAAACTGAGCTTTCTTATCCTCCACAAACCAAAGTGGAGTGGAGAGTTGGGATTCGATAGACATTGTTGGAAAGTTCAAAGAGTTTGGAGCAAGGATTGATTGAGTTATCGGCACACGTAGGAAAACAAATCCGCATAGGATCATCACTGGAACCAATCTTGACTTTTTATCGACCAATTATTGCACAAGCATATGGAGTGACTTTTCAACTATCATCGTTCTCTTTATCTTTTTTCTTCCTTTTTCGTTTTTCTTATATGTAGTGGCTTTTAACTTATCATAATTCTCTCTTTTTTTTCTTTTTTTTTTATGGAGGGATTTTTGACTTTTCGTCGTTATTTTTTCATTTCTCATCCTTTCTTAGCGTTCAAAGTGGAATGAGGTTTATCCTTTACAATCTTACATGCTTAGGATTTGAGTTCGAAAATTATATTTTTTTTTCTTTATAAACATAAAATTATAATCATGCTTTTCTATCGGATCGAAAGACACCACCAAGAAGTTGGAGTTTTAGAGTTTGATAAGACATTATAGTGAGTTAAACGAAGCTTATATTTTTTTATTTATACGAATAACATTATTACCTCATATTATGATGAGTTCGATAAAAATTTATATCTATCTCTAATGAGACACCCGATTGATTATTAATATATTATTATACAAGTAATGTATCTTAGTTCGAATTCAGGTTAAGATTATGACCTCATACTATGATGAGTTAGATAAGAATTTATATCTCTGCTGAGACACCCGATTGATTATTAGTATATTATTATACAAGTGATGTATCTTTAAGTTCGAAATCAAGTTTGAGCATTTTATATATCATTTAATATAATAAAAAAAAATATTTTTAATTTTTTAAGATGATGATGGCCTCATATTTGGAGCAAGATTGCTCATATCAGCACATGCTGGAAACCAGACAATGTCTGCACAGTATCTCTCACAGGGACCAATCTTGACTTCTTCTGTGGATCACATACAGACGAGCAAAGCCATAAATGCCAAGCCAAGGAAGTGGACGGCAGAAGCGTCCGTAGTCGTAACCAGGAAGTCCACCCTCCATTAAACTGGATTTTGGAATGGTATGATTTCTTTCCCGAGATCCGATTGAAAAGGGGCTTGCAATGGTGTATGATCTAGGTGTCAGCACGGCTTCATTCACGAGCCAATATTCGGAGCTCCCAGGGTTGGCGGCACTTTTCTCGATCAGACGGTGGACGAGCCGAGGACGAGTTGAGTCGTCGATCGGGTTGATCGTGCCTCCGGGATGGCCAAACTCCTACACACAGACCAGGGTCAGGGTGTTCCTGAGTTGGATCCCTCGTAGATTAAGTTAGTGGTCTTCTTTTCTTTTTTTATTCTTACCCTTGGTTAGGTACCGACCAGAGATTTTTATACTATTGCCCGAGGATCGATCGTACGCAGATTTAGCGTGACGACTAACCCTCGAGTGGCTATATTGTACCTTTGTACGGATATCGCTTGGTGAGCATGGAACGATGCTAAACAACGCTGTCCCGAGCTTTCCAGGACGAGACTTACCGAGGGGGCACCTTCCCGAGCGAGTTTCGATTCAGCATGGGGAGTCAATCCTCGTGTTGATTCGACGGGAGCATGATGTGACGTGGATCGTGACATGACTGATATTCAAAATATATTTTATTATAAGAACAACAGCTGAAGAGATGACATTATTTTGCTTCACTCATTGTTGGAGCATAAGAATGCAAATCTTATCGAATTGGGGAGATTAAGCTCAAATGCATGAGTTCACCAAACAAATTCGAATCAAGATTGCTGACCTCACGACCAAAATGGATCCATTTCAAAACCGACAAGAAACCCTCACCTCAACAGGTCAATTACGATATGTAATCGATTACATAAAGGGCAATTGATTAACCTCGATCGATAGTTGAGCCATCCCGATAGAGGTGGTTGAGCCATAGACGACAAGTGGGTGAGCCATGTCAATGAAGCCACATCATCAACGGAGCCAAATGATTAACCCACATCACTATCTTAATCATTTCTAACATAAACATTATGGGAGAGAACGAGACAAACTTCCCCCAATCTCAATCTCAAGCAGTACGTCGAGAGATGGACAGCATCCATACCCAGATACTGATTCATTTTCAATCATCCTCGATTTCTTGATTGAGTCGTTCCTCTCTCTCTCTCTCTCTCTCTCTCTCTCTCTCTCTCAATTTCAATCATCCTCGATGGCACGCGTCGAGTTTACAGCCTACCCCTCACCCTGCAGTAACCCTGCGCGAATCTTAAAGCTAAACAACTGTGTTGGATCCCCCTCGGAGTCGACATACCTATACGTAGCCACAAGGCTCCGAGCATCTCTGCTTTAAAGTGCGTGCGAGGCCACGCGGCGCTGCATCGACTCCTCCCGTGTTGGACATCTGTTTGTCGTGTATACAGATACTCATATATATTAATCTCGATGGGTTCCCACCGTCCGTCACTCGGCTCGGCCCTCTCGCACCTAACTCGTCGCATCCGGCCATGGCAGGTGGAGAGCTTCTCAGTCGTACATGCCCTCTCTCCTTTCTCCCTTCTCCTCCTCCTGTTCTACCTTCAATTCTCTACAGTTGAAAACACGATCCATCGACACTGCATGAGAAGGTTTCCTGCACACCACCATGGGTGTCATCACAAGTTGGTACGCCATTTAAAGCGCATGTGGACGTGTTGGAAGAGACACATACGGTGGGCAGCCACTGTTTGTGTGGGTTTGGGAGGAGTGGAGGCCGTCCTGCCCGCCCGTCTCCACCTGCAGCTGCAGCTGCTGCTGCTGTGTGTTTTTGTCTCTCATGGTCGCATGCGACTCGTGCCCACCCCCAAAAGGGCAAGCACCTCTCCCCTGAATCGAGTCTCTTCCGTTTTCCTGTAGAGAAAGGGCCTACAAGTGGAATTCATCACATGATAAGCCACTTGAGATAGCCATGTCCTACCCTCATGCCTTCACTCCTTGTAGAAGGAGGCTTAGCTTTGAGGAGATTTCAACCCAAGGCCCTCTGTCCATCTCCTATATAGCTCTCCCTCCCTCCTTACCACACCATTTTGAGGCAGGTCGCAAGATGTCGAGCAGGAGGTCCAGGATCTCAGAGGAGGAGATCAACGAGCTCGTCTCCAAGCTGCAGTCCCTCCTCCCAGAAGCCCGCCGACGAGGCAGCGGCAGGGTAAGCAAGCGCCCCTCCTCAAGTCCCTCGACTCCTAAATTGTGTTGCTCATCTGATGTCAGTGTCTCTGTGCTCTCTTCTGCAGGCTTCGGCATCAAAGCTACTGAAGGAGACGTGCAACTACATCAGGAAACTCAACCGGGAGGTCGACGACCTGAGCAACCGCCTCTCGGCCCTCATGGCGACCATGGACAGCGACAGCGCCGAGGCCGACATCATCCGCAGTCTCCTCCGGTCGTGAGCACGGTTCGTCCTCTCCTTTGTTCCACTCCACCTAATGTATCTGCATATGCATACATAATGTAACTTGTTCCAAGTGTGGGACTTTTGATGTAGCACGGGTAACCTTGGATTTCCTGTACATAACACGAAAAATTCTACTTAGTTCATCTATAATATTCCTTTCTCTGCCTTATCTGCCACTAGACCAACTTGGGGGAGTGGCTTCCGTAAGCTCGAGGGAAACAGACCTAACCTCGGCAATTTTGTATCCCTAATCCTACCACGAACGGTCTAACTTGAGATGCAACTCATCATTTTTGGGTAAGACTGAAAGCTTAATGTGGTCAAACTTTACGATGATGAGAAATGGACTTCCTCCAGCTTTTGGCGTCAGCTGCTGATGTTCGTGAATTCAAATTAAACAGCGCTAAGAACACCCAAAAAAATACCTACCCATATGGTCAGTGCTGTAAGAAATGAAACGGGTGAGCTCACCAGGGGTCCATCTAGAGTCCGTGGGATCCACGGCAGATGACGTGGGGCGAGGCGCGAACGTCCGTGGTGGACCGTCCAATCGATGGAAGCTTCCTCGAAGCCTCCCGCCCGCCTACCCGCGCGCTCTCTCGCTCCCCGACGGTTACAGAGTTAGTTGACCTGACGGTTGTGAGAGTGTACTCGCCAACCGAATAAAATGTAAAAAGAATAAAGAAATGGGGAGAAATAGACCAAAACTCTGCAATCAATCATACGTTTGCTTATGACCAATTCTACAGTCTACAAATATAAGATCTACTGCTCCTGTACAATGGACCGCAAGAAGGCTGAAGAAGGGAAACACACACACACACACTACCAAAAAAAAAAAAGAATTAGAAAATTACTTCCAGAACTTTGGCCTGCCTCCACGTCGCCACCTGCACATGCAAACGGATTGACAAAAATCATATATAAGGACGAAATAATAAAAAAACATTTTTCATAAAGAGTACAATATGCATCCATAACATAAAAAAATAAATATCTACCATGGTTTTTCGAAGAAAATTTCAAAGGTAAATCTATTATGATATTAGGAGAAAGAATGGGTATAATAAAGATGGGAGGGGAACGAAAGAGAAGGATCATCTCGTAGAGAGAGACTACGAACCTAAGCTGATCCAAAGGCGGCCTTGCTCTTGCGGAGAGGGGAGGAGGGCAGCGCCGAGCGGGAGCAGAGGAGGGCGTCGGCGGCGGCGGCGGCGGTGTGGAGGGGAACGGGGATCCGAAGATCCCTCGCACTCAGCCCTTCGCCGGTGCCGTCGCCGATCCGGAGGTCCTCCTCCCGTATTCTTCGCACCTGGCTGTGGACCAACGGCCGGCCACCGCCGCTCTCTTCCACTTCCGGCCCCTTCTCTTCCTTCCCTTCCCCAACCATCGAGATCGCCGCCGTCATGGGGTCTCTCTCTCTCTCTCTCTCTCTCTCACGTATCCGGTGATAGGGTTTTTGGCTGGGGAGGAAAATAAATAGGGGATCGACGGGAGCAGAGGGAGTGAGAGAGACGGGTTTGCTGCTACGTTTACGGCACGCGACCTCGACGGGTGCGCGAGGTGACGAGCTTGACACGTGGATACGAGAGTTCGTTGAGATCTGCCACGCGGATAACGGCACTTCAAGCCACGATTGAATGCCAGATTGGAAAGGCCACGTGGAGGACCAATTTCGAACCACGCGTGAAGGGAGACGGGGCGGTTGGAATCAGAGAGTCGGTTGAGATCTGCCACACGGAGAAATGACACGTCACGTAGCTCTGGAACAACATAATACAAATTCTTAATGACATGCAATGAAAGGGAAACAGAAAAAACAGAGGCCATCTACATAAGTCTATGAGATTTGTGTCACCTGAAAGGACTTGGATTTCATTACAAAGTAGCTCAAAATTGTTGTTCTGTGCGTGCAGATCCTCCCATTTCTTGGAGACTCAACCATAGATTGCAGCTAAGAGGAGATTATGATGAGACATTCTATCTGCTTCCATCTGAAATCATCTTAAGTTAGCTACAAAACTGTAAATTAATATGAAAACAGAACATAGCACCTCGAGATATAGATGGTGTCTGGATCTGCATCAATAATATTTGGTAGTGAATCAAGAGACACTGAATCAGAATCATAGGTAAGCAGCGGCTCCTAAACCTTATCAGAGACTTGGAAGCTTTCAGAAGCATCAGCCCCCGCCATAAGATGCATCTGGGGCTTCCAAATTACTAAACATTAACCAGCAAGAGTCATCCTTGGGAACATCTTGGATAGTGGTATCGCCTTCATCTGGAGATGCCTTGTCATCGACAGCCATAACAATAGCTCTGGAACTCGGGTCTTCCACTTTGTGTGTCTCAGCCATATGTTTCTCTTGGCTCGGGCAAATTATTTCCTCTTCATGGATTCTTGATGGTTCTTGAATGCCTTCAGTAATCTAATGACCTCCGGCTGAATCAACTTCTACATGTTTTTCTCTCATAAAAGTGTTGAGACACTGAACAGGTTGGTCTTCATCAGCACTAAGCCAGCCACTCAACAGTTCATCATCATCATCATCCATCTCATTCATTACTTCCTTGGTCGCCCGTTAGAAAAGAATGCATGCCATGTTTCTGACGGTTGTGGAATGTATTTTCGAAACCTTCATGTACGGAGATCTTGGAAACCTCAAAGTCTGACTATAGGAAGGGCTCAGGGATGAATAAAAACTTCTAAGGCCATTAGTGTTTGTGTACAGAATGCAGCAAGTTCTGTTCCAGATTCCAGTTTACCTGCAAAAACAAGAAAAGAAATCCAAGTTAACAAGCACCGAATGTAAAAGTTGTGAAGGTCACCAGTGTTTTCTATGCAAGACATCGAATTTGTGCAGACATTGTTCACCTATAAACTAAATCTACTAACACCTAGATAGACAGTAGTTCTAACATCATCGCATCATAAAAGTTTGCAAAGGCCAACACGACCAGTATGATTTTGTACCATTATTAGTATTGGCCTATTGTGTCATCTAATGCTTGCAAAATATTTCCAGTTCCCAGGCATTTCATCTGACAATATCGAAACAAGAGAAGCTGGAATTGTGCAATCAGGCAGCATATCAGTGAGAAAGAAACAATTAAGGATAATCTTAGCACCAAGTCTATCCAAGCTCTGAAGCTGCTTGAATGCAAAAATTAATTATTAATTTGGAGGAATGTTAAAAATGAGGGGCATAGCAGGCACATCCAACATGAATGCTTCAAAACTAAAAGTCCAAGTCTAAGCATAGTGGCCAACTACAAGATATATATACTTCTAAATGCTTACCATGCCCAATATCTAATGTGTATCAGGTGCCAGTGCTCAAATATCTCAGATGCATTTCAAAAACTTTGTTGAAGTATCCAAATCTTTTAATAATGTTGACTAATAGGATACTCAATGAACTTGAGAGATGAGAAATATGACATTAGAAACTTGAGGACTTCACTTTTCTTCAATGGACAAGATGTGTATATGATATAAAAATGTTGTCAACTGTCAGTTGTATTGAGCATCATAAGGCGACGATATTGAAATGTTATTTCGGCCTCAATTTTCTAAAATTACTGAAGCAATTTTTTAAGAATATAGCAATACTTGCTAATTATTTATTGTTTATCATGTTAGACAATAACATTTTTAACTCTCTAAGTAAATCTCAAGGCTTGTTGAACATGATAATTACACAATAAAAAGAATCTACTTGCCATATCAATTGTTTTGTATCTTTTTATTTACCAATATCAGCAAATTCATATCAGTTCTTAGCATTAACTTGTACCCCAATCAGTACTTGAGGGAAACTAAATCTATCACTATCAATGTGTAAGACTAAACTGCAAGAATATTAATCCACAAGTATATCTTGGAACTATCACCAATCTAAACAAAAATAGTACTTTAATCGTGTTTAAAAGAGTGATGCTATATCAGTTTCATAATTCTATTTCTTCAATTTCTAGATCTTAGACAAATTTCAATTGCTTTATAATTTTTCCTTAGCGAAAAAGATGAAGCCGTTCTGACATGGAGGATGAACACGCAATGGAGAAAAGGAGAGAACCCGTTACCATCTTACTTGAGGCCAACGAGAGGACGCGTTCAACGCAGGCATCCACGGCGGACCGTCAGGCCTCGATCAGATTCGCGTTCGGGGAGATCGAGGACGAGCTTGGAGAGGAGGCCAAGCGATCCCTCACCAGGGACCTTTAAGAAAACGGTGATCGCCATCGAAGGCGAGCGGAGCTCCCAATTCGTCTCAAGGGTAAGAAAGGGGGGCGATCGAGGCGAAGACGTCGATCGCGTGGAGTAGGGTTCGGGGAGACGTGATTACGGCAAAGGACGAGGTCGGGAGGGTTTTAGGATTTAATCGCCGCGCGATGGACGGGAAAGAGAGAAAGAAAGTATAATGACAGTTGATCGCAACCGTCCACTTCAACGTAAAAAATCAGAGATTTTCCATGAAAACAAAAAAAAATTAAAAATATCTTCTTTTTTTTTGCATATTTGAAAAAATACAAATATTTATCACTAAAAGATCCAGTGATTAAATGATCCATCAGTAAAAATTTCAGTAACAAAAAAATATATTTGTCATTAAATCATGCGACAAATTATATTCATGGCTGATTTATTCAGATTGTATCATAAAATGAGTAATAAGACAATATAATGATGTTGTGACTACTTATTCACCTGGAATTTACAACTAGAAATTGATACTAGCAAGATGACATGAAAATTTTTGGGACAAATTAATTATGTCACTGAAAATATCTTAAACAATGACACAGGTCATACTATTTGTCACTCGAAAAATACATGTCAACTTAGTGATTGAAGTTTTCTATCTGGAAATATCTAGTTCATTGAAGGGAGCATATATGATTGACACCCAATGGGCAGTATAACATATTATTGATACTACAGAGGATGATATAACACTATATCAATGGAATGATAGAAATCATACAGAATTCCAGAATTGCCATAAAACATGACTGATTTGAACTCCACAGCTTCCTAGGAGATCCGGAAAAAGGAAGGATCAGGTTGATGACCTTCTTACTTTAGCTCTTTGAACCACAATGCTCCTGCAAGAATTTGTACAGCTCTTCTGCAACTGTTAAGGGATACTCCTCTTGTGGAAGAAGAGCCCCTGGAACCTCCACAAATTTAGTGACACCTTTGGCTTCTTTTAGAGCATCCATCTCGGCTTTTGACCTCTTGGGGGCACCGGCTGTTGATACGACCAATATTGGCATCTTCCCTTCCAGTTCTCCAAAGAGTTGGAGAAACTCCTCACGAGACTTAACGGGATCAAGCTCGCCTGTCAGAAAAGCAGCAGGAACATATCGAGCACCCTTCCGTTTTGTCAAGTTATATCTGCTCTCCACAATGCTTGGTGTGACATTCTCTGGGTCTGCATAGACATGGGACCTGTACTGGGATTCAATGGACTTCTCATTGCTCACCAGCACATTGTACATCATCCAACCCACTGCTGGCGCCCTCAGAGTGCCCCTCAGGAGTCCATACCTAGAGAAATTGGCATGGGGTCATGTAAGTACGGCAGTTCTATACGTTGCAAGATATATACGTTGCCAAAAACAAGCACCTTAGTTTACATTGTAAGCACAAATTCTAAACACCTAAGCTTATTGCGACTATCAGGTGAACTTCATTTTGGATGTTCAACAGCTTGTTTTTCCCTGTAGATGACCTCTTGAGATAGAGATCATATTCAAACACTTAGATTTCATGAAATTACCTTGATTAGACACAAAACAATCCAACCATGCAAATTAATTGCATAAACTTATGAGGAGAAGAAGCTTAGATCCATAACTACTTTGGACTAAAATTTTGTATAGAGAGTAGACACTTAAGTTTTAGTGCATGAACAAATATTGTATGTGCCTGCACCTCACACATGTATAAAGGCCAATCTATCTAAAAGTTTTTGACCTTGGGAATCAGATGCACAAGGATAGCATTTGAACATATATATTGACACATAGCAGTCACTATTTTAATCCACCTATCCTCTACAATCCTCGATTAACATTGTGTTCTCCAGCTTCAATAAAGCTGTGCTAATGTGCAAGGGCTTTCTCAAGTCCCTCCAAACTCTAGCTGAAAATGCTGACAAGATCACTGATCTTTAATTAGGAGCTTTACACAGTACCTTGAAGACCAGCTGAAAGTGAGACATTAGAGAGCTTCTATATAAATTTGGAAATATAGTCAAAGATTAAAAGGTCATAGGAAAATTGTAACATATCCAACATTTCAGATGCACTAAGCAAACAAACAGGATATTTAACTAAAAGGATCTCTCTTCTTTAATTAATTTCTTTGTTATTTTTATTAGTTATATTTGCAAACTTCTGTTGAAGGTTAGAAACAACAAAGTCACTATCTGTTAGTATTTGTCCACCCATTACAACTACTACTTGCAGATCATTTTTTCAAGTGCATCATAGATTCAAAAAACCTAACTTCTGTATGAGTTTAGGTACACTTAATATATGCTCTACAACTAATACGTTGGAAATAAGATTAAATATGAAACAATACAAGATCAAGTCAAACAAGTAAGTACCTTGACTCCATGTCTGAACTTCGACCGAAGACTATAGGAAGAGGACCAGCCCAAGTAGGTGCAACAGCTGCTATGGATGCAGGACTAATTGAACGCTTTCCAGCTGCACGAACTGCAATAGTTGCTGCATGTCCTCCCCCAAAAATAACCAACTCGCCTTCTGTTTTTGATAGAATAAAATAAGAAAATACAACAATAACTGGAAAAATAATCTCACAATAAGAAGTCACAGCTCAAAAGAAGGTTTCATGGATATTAGCAATTCATACATATGAATTTGACACACATTAGTTATGCTTAGCTCATTTGAACATGTACAACAAAAAATTTTGTCTAACAATTTTCCATTACATATCAATTTTGTACATTCACATTATGTGATTTCTAATACAGGAAAAAATCTTATACTGCAGCATTCTCCCATTGGACAATGACCTATGAAGCGCCACACGAATCAGTAACTATATAGTCAGGCACCCATTCCAAGCATAAGAGTGAAGACATTATACCGAATTTAAGTGATTAAAAGCATTCCTAGAAAAGTCATTCTAAACGTGCAGCCTACAAAATTTGGAGAAACTCTTGGTCTCCATTTTTTAATAACTTATATTTAGTTGATCAGTCAAACTAATGCAGGTTCAATGAGACCTGGAACTTTTTCAAGATGTGGTTAAAAACTGCATCACCAAAAGAAAGAGCCTTAGTGACAGATACAAGTCAATGTTTCTTTATCCAAATAATGAAATTGACTGAGGCTTTGGTATGACAATTCCTCATGGATGGAGCTACAATAATCATTATTCATGAAATTGTGCAGATGACCATATCGCAGTTGTGCTGCACAACAATCAAAACCTTTAATTTCAGATCACCTAAATTTACCAGAGGAGAATCTGATGCACCAATCAATTGAACAATGAAGTTATCCACAAGATAACCAATGCCCTTAAGGATGACTACCTCTAAATTTTTGTGTAGAAAGTACATGACTTCTCTAGAGAATTAAAACATTGGTTACCCAGAGCTCATCTAGGTTTGTTAATGAGAAGTTTTTGGCTAACAGTTCTATATTAGAGTTTGCATCTGCTGTCTTATATGCACATTATATGATTTCCAATACACGTTAATTCTTTGCAAAATGTGCTCGGTAGTCTCGATCCTCTTATACTACTATAATACACCCTTCACCCATCAAATAAATGCCCTAGGATGTAAACATTAATCAGTTGCGGCCTACCTAGGTATTGGTTATGATGGCAGAGAAACATATGCTGATTTAGAAGAAAGAAATACATAATAAAACAGGAAAATCGGGGATGAGATATGCTGGTATTGTAGCAGAAACTTGTAGACAGTGGTTACTTTTGCTATGAGATTATTGTAGCTTTTTATGTGTTAAGTATGAAGGTTCAGTAAATGGTCTAACTTATTTAGGATCTATTTGCAATTTAATAATGGAATGATATTGGAATCCTATGTTATCAAGTTGGATTTTGATCAGTTCTACACGAATATGTCTAATACAAACAATGGCAACATGAGGGAAGTGGTCACTCTTGTCAGCCCATATTAAAATTTCACCTGAATTTGCCAGAGGACCATCTGATGCATTGATAAACTGGACAAGAAAGTTCTCCATGACATCAGCATTGTACTCCAGTGATGGCCTATCAGAAAATCCCAGACCAGGCCAATCAACGATAGTAGCACGGCATCGCACATCTCCTTCTCGCGCAACAATATCCTTCGCCACTGTCCTCCATTCCTCAACAGTGCTAACGTCCGAGATAGTGGGGATCATGAGGATCTGCTTGGCATTTGCAGCACTCTTCCCCTCATGCTCCTCATAGTAGACGTTCACAGAATTGCCGTCAAAATTCCACTGCCACTTGCCAGTCTGGAATGCCACAGGCACTTATCAGCCAAATGCAAAACACGATACTAAATCACCCAAATGCAAGCGAAGAAAAACTCCTATTTTACTCCTCTAGATTTTATGCACAACGAAATTCTTCTAACAGGGAATAAAAGAGCAATCTTTTCCAACGGAAACAGTATAAATATGCACCATCTAGTTAAAACTTCACATAAACACAAAATATCCACAAATTCAAGAACAATTTACACAGAAAGATCCAACACGATTACTACCATCAGACACCCGATTTCAGGCGCCTGAACTAGAAATTACAAGGGGCAAAGGGAAGGCAAAGAAGGAAATCTGGTCAACAGTAGGTTACCTTAGATCGATACGGAGAATTATCGAGGACAGGAGAAGGGGCGGAAGAAGGAGCGAGAGATGAAGAGACGCGTCTGAACCGAAGCGGCCTCGCGATCGGAAGAAGAAAAGGAGGAGAAAGGAGGCGTAAACGAGAGATCGAGGCGGCTCGGGAGAAGCTCGCGGGGGAGGAGGGGATGAAGAGCGCAGCGGAGGTCGCCATGCTCGCAGTCGGGGGGTTGAAAGTAGGAACGGTGGCACGGAGAAATAGAAGCCGCGGAGGCGACACGATGCCTCACGCCGTCCTTACTGCTCCATTTAATATTATTCTTCACTTAAAAGAGGAAAAAAAGACTAAGAGATAATTATTTTAAAATATCAAAAATATAATATTCTTAAAATTCTTACCAGAAAATGATAGTCAACTGAAGAAGATTAAATACAATAATATATAATACATATTGGATTTCATGAGAATATTAATGATAAATTTAAATTTAGAAGAAATTAAAATAACCTTTGACATTCCAAAGATACACATATGATATGTGTGTATAATTTATATTACACACATACATATGAAGAAGATTATCTATATATATATATATATATATATGATTTAGTTTTCGTTTGTGGCGGCCTACCACACATGTAACTGGAGATGATGATTGGACACTGAAAGTTGACCACAACGGGTACCACCAAATTGTTGAATAGAAAACAAGGTATAGAGAAGAGTAGACGAGGAATTGGTAAGTGAATCATTATATCACTTATAAGAGCCTTAGTTTGAGTGAACGGAGACATGGCGTCATACTAATGAGGCGTCGGTCGTTGACTGCCACTTAAGATGACGATAATAGCTACAGAGAAGACAATACTTGGCACTTATC